CAATTGGAAGTCTGAAATCGTCCATATCGAAAGAAAGCGATCTTTGACCTTGCCAATTTCAAAGAGGAGAGCTTGGAAAAGGGTCTGTTTATGTCTGACTTGCCAAAAGGGTTTTTGTGAGAGAATCTGAAATTGTGAGAGATAAGGTAAATGCATAAAAAAACTTGTACCATATGCTTGATGAGTTGTAATTAAGAGTTTTTTGAAAATCTTGCATAAAACCATTGTAACTTGTGCTTAAAGAGTTGTATTTAAGACTTTGTCTTAAATGGTTATATATGTAGTATAGATATATATTAATATTATAAATGCATATTTTTTGAGATTTCATGATTTGTAACTCCCCATTAATTGTTTGGGAGTTACATATCAAATCAATTTACTGAAATACCCTTGTAATTAACTTGTGAACATGACATAAATCTACTTGAAGAATGAAGTTTGATTGGTTGACATGGTTTGCAAAGTTAACACAAAATTGTTGGTTAACATTTGATCTTCCCCCCTCTCTCTCTCTCTCTCTATATATATATATACATATATGTGTGTGTGTGTGCACGCGCGCGCGCCTGCACATAGAGATGAATTATTATGCAACTCTTTATATTTGTACAACCAATACAACTCAATCTCAACCGTCCATTTAATTTGATAAATATGTGATTTCATAAAAGTTTTGATTGTTTTCTGATATAAAGTATTTATTATAACTAATGAACTCTAATCATCTTCTATAAATATTTAAATCATAATAAATTAACTTTCATCATTTACATAAATATCTCAATTGGTTGGGTTGTATTGGTTGTACAAATAGACATGACTGCATTTGAAATATACCATATATATATATATATATATATATATATAATAACAAATAAAAAAATAATGGATAAGTCATGTGACAATCCACATAAATCAAGAAAAATAAATTTTCTTCTATTTTTTGAACTCCTTTTTTTTATTAGTAATGCAATACTATGTAGCCAAAAAGAGATCTCAAAATAAATAAATAAATAAATAATTTATTCATATGACACCTTTAGCTAAACTAGTTATTTGACAATGTTTTTACTTGAATCTTCGAAAACAACGAAGCCCTTTTTCTATAAACAACATCACAGTTTGATTAAGAAAGGTAATTAAAATATCAAAATTTTCAAAAAGAATTCCGATAAACCATAATTGATTATCAACCTGTGTGGATTTAAGCTTTTGAAATCATTTATTATCAATATGTGAATTTTACTTAAGCATATGAAAACAATAGTAAAGGTATAGGAACATAAACACATCATCAGAAAGCAGTTTAACATAATATGGTAAATAGTTTAATAGATCTAACGTGAAGCATTTGAGTTATCAACAAAGTTCATTGAAGCGGAAGCAATCATCACTACATGTAGATTAAAGCCTCTAAAGCTCTACATGGTTTGCTTTAAAATGGGGGCTAAACTGAATGCAAATTCTTGTAGGCAATAGAGACTTGACCTCCTTTATTTATAAGCCATGGAAACCTAAAGACTCGTCCAATAAAAAATCCTAGTTTATCTTTAAGTTTGGTTTTCAAATAATAGAATGTATACATTCATCTTAATGTTTAATCACGTAATCAAATTATTGAATTATCCTACTCATATTAAAAGATATATATCTTAATATGTAATTGGATTATAACTAATATAAGATTATGTTGATAAATATAAATATTTAATCAGTTACCTTTTAATATTTATCACAGATTATGATAAAGTTCAATTTATAAATTAAAAAAAAAACCACAAAAAGTACCATGAGTAACAACTTTGGTATTATAGCGAGCTTTTTCTTGCAGTCTAGCTATTATTTGTGTAGTTTCAAATCATATGCATCTTAGGTATCAAATTACATCTGGTGGGAAAAAGCTTTGATGATGTAAAAGATAATCACGGGAAAGAGACTTCTAGCTAAGGTGTACAAATACCTGACTAACCTGATCCAAAACAACCGACTTGAAGCAAACTGATGCCTAATAGAGGTGTGAAAGTTACAAATTGTCGGTAATAAGTTGGAATTGGTTTGGGGCCATTTGAAACTGGCCCGATCCGATGAACTTGACATCCCTCTTACATGGTATATAATATGTTGTTCGACATGGTAGTGCTGCATTTGATCTACACAGTTGCGACTGACAATTAGTTAGCTCTTTTCATAAATGTACTATAATTCCACCCGTAATTTTGTCTCCTATTTGCAAGAATCTTCAACTTTCTTCTTGGGATTGGTCTTAGCTTTTTCTTTATTCCTTTATGTACGCGTAAAAAGTCAATTAACCATTAGTCTTGACTAATGCTTTTTTATGTTGCTCAGGTGCTGCTATTATGTCAAAACACGACCAACCCAACTCGCATCAACCCAATTTCCACAGATTGGGTTATCTTTAAACATTTCTTAATGGGTTGAGATTTTTCAACGAGGCAACCCAACTCATATAAAACCTTTTTTGTAGCAAACATAGTGGCCTTGCACTGGCAAGAGGACATTGCAATTCAATATGAGGCAGGGGCACACCTATGAAGCCTCCGTCGAGTCCCTTCCATCCGCTCAACCGATTTTCACAAGTAGATTTTTTTGGGTATGAAAGGTGCACACGCTAAACTTTTAGGAGTGCTCCAGGATATTAAAAAAAAATACAAAAGATATCAACCAAAAAACTGAAAAAATACCTCGAAATCAACCAAAAAACCGAATAAGTCTCAAAATTAATCAAAAAACTTAAAAAATCTCTCCAAATGGTGGAATTCGGCTAAGAAATATCGGATGACTTAGAAGACCAATAATCCACTTAAAAAATGTACCCGTTCGGCAAAAATCATGAGTTCACCCCTAAACATATGCCTCACCTAGACTGGTTGCAACATTAGACCATAGTCTGATACATAGCGCAATTTCAGTTAAAATAATCCATACTGATACAAGTCGGTAAGCTTGGCTAATATAAGCTACATGTTTATATCCATTAACCATGACATGTAAATTAATCAAATTAGAATGAAAATACTAGAATTAGATGTAAGGTTGAGCATAGAAAACTACATAATTGTTTGTTACTACCCCTCCAACTTACAGTCGTTGGTACCTTCGACTGGTCGATCTTGGAATTCTCCTATGGGGATTACGAACAACAGATGATCATGAGAGAAAGAGGGTAAATATCTCCGTTGTAGAGTTCTACTTTTGCAAGAAGTATGGGTGGATCTATACACACACGTATGTGTGTAATTGATGACTATATATATACAGATTAAGGATCTTGTGAGAATAAAAGTCATGGTTAGAATGTGAGATATAAAACCTTCAAAAGTTGCCTTCACCTACTTTCAATGTCCTAGCTAATTCTAACATCATAACTGAAGCTTTAACAGATTTATGGATGTGAAAATGATTGAAGGTATGTAAAAGTTGGTGAAATTAAAGATCAAGGTTCATGAAGGTCCCGTATTTTCATCAATCAATTTGAAGGTAATGAAACTTTAACTGTTAGAACAAAATATCACCTTATCCAACGGTTTAGAAGTATATATATATATAGAGAGAGAGAGAGAGAGAGATGCAAAGGAAAGTCCAACTCTAAACCTGTTTTCCATTATGAAACGAGTGACGAAGGAGAGAGGGACACATGTCCCCATTTTATCACATTCATGATGAATAATACACGTGAATTTTTTACAAGATTCAGAATGAATGATACACCATTCATCATTCATGATGAATATCCCATGAATGTCCAAGACATGTGCCTGCTCTTTTTTGTCCCCTATTCACAACAACATAAGTTTGGAATTGAACCTTCCCACACGACCTTCTTTTGAGAACCCATAGAATTATGATAACCTTGAGAAATTGTACATCATGTGTTATTTCATATGATTTTTTTCCATCTAAGACTAGGATTTGGAATATTTATTAACATATATTTGTTTCACATGTACTCGGTTCACAATGTGAACATTTTTTACATGTTTGTGAAACAAAAAATACACATAAAAGTTTCACATTGTGAACCGAATACATGTGAAACAAACACATTGTAAAACACATATATGTTAATCAATACATTAAATACTATACTTAGACGGAAAAATATCATGTGAAACAAAATCTTTAGGTAGAAGTTCTCACGGATTTCATAAATTTTGGAGTTTTCAAATGATTAAGCTCCTATATATGATGACTATGGTTTTGAAGTCTCTTGAGGTTCAAGAAACTCTAAAAGTTGAAAGCTTATTGTTTGACAAATATATTTCGAAATTTCTATATTGAATGTGTTTTTTTCAATTCATCTGATGCCATTCTTCAAATATTCCAATTTCTCACATATTTGATCATTACAGAACCTAGAAATGTTTTACTAAGCAAACGATGATGATCAACTACTTTTATCCCTGCTAATCTTTGATTGAAACTGGCATATTCAAACTTCGTTTCTTTAACCAACTGGTGTCATAGGAATCTCAATTACATTATAAATTAACTAACATAAACGATACAATAGAACATGGACAAAAATGACAATTTAATAGAGAATGTTGAAGTTATGTAATTTGATCAACATTGAACAACATAATGTAATAAACATGCTAATGTTAATCTTTCTATTAAGAGATGCGGGTTTTTTTTATATAGGAGGCGGCCCCCTCCAATCAAGAAAAGAGATGCGATTTAAAAACATTATGTAATGAAAATATTGAAGATATCAATCAAGGGAAGTTTTTTAAGGCTTCAAATTATGGAAATACTCTTACCAATAATCTCCACATGAACATTGACCTTGTTTGAAATGATGAAATCTACTGGCATCTCGTACGACGATCTCCCGATTTCTGATTACAGAGATGTACTTGATGGCAACATGGCAATCGTTGCATACACGTAAATTCTTCATCACCCTGATCGGAACACAATCTGGTGTGTTCATTAGAGCAAAAGCAATTGCCAACTTCTCACTGTGCTGCACCAAATCATCTTCCTTTTCTTCAAGATTCATGTCATGCAAAATGGAATCAGTATCAGGCTTATAACCCAACAATTTCATCTCTGCAGTCAGCTTTTTCAGGTAAAGATTGATTTTTTTCGAATCTGGATGAGATTTATCATTCATACAGAACTGATGAACATGGTTCTTCCTCTCAAACCAGCTCACACCTGGTTCCTTTTTAACACTCCTATCCCGCATTGCCTTCCTTAAATCAGACACATTATGCCATTGTTTAGCAGAGGCTTGTATGTTTGCAAGCAGGACATACGATGCTGAATCCTGAGGATCCACCCTAATGACTTCTTCGGCTATTCTTTTAGCCATATCGGCATTTTTGTATATACTGCAGGCAGATAACAGGGTCTTCCATATAATAGAATCTGCCTTCACAGGCATAGATCTAATAATGGCTTCTGCTTCCTCCAAACGGCCAGAACGGCCAAGGAGATCAACTAAACAAGTGTAATGTGGTAATTGAGGCTCCAATCCGTATTTATCTGTCATTAAATCAAATATTTTAATCCCCTGATCCTTCAATCCACTATGACTGCAAGCATAAAGTAAACTCAAGAAAGTAACATTGTTCGCTTTCAATCCTTCGCTCTCCATCCAATTAAAAAAAGCAACTGCCTCCTTTCCCATTCCATGAAGTCCATAAGCTGCAATCACTGAACTCCAGAGGACAACATCAGGAATGAGACTTTCTGAAAATGCTTTCAAAGAATCTTGCAAACATCCACATCTTGAATACATGCTTACCAAGGAACTAAGGACAGAAACTGATGCACAAGCCCCGGACTTTATTGCCTCTGCGTGAATCTGCTGGCCTTGTCCAAGTGTTGCCAACTCCGAACACAAACTGAGCACAGTTACAAACGTAATTTTATCAGGTCTGAATCCCGCCATTTTCATTATATAATACTGATTTAAAGCTTCCTCAGAACATCCACTTTGAGCTCTCCCTGAGATAAGTGTATTACAAACAGCCACGCTATGAACAGGCATAGCTTTGATCACCTCCTCTCCTTCTGCTAGACTTCCAGACTTCATGTACATGTGAGCAAGTGAACTCCCAACAACAACATTGATTTCAACCCCAGATTTAACTGCATAGGCATGAACCTGCCGACCTGCACTTACACTCTTTAAACCAGCACAACCTCGAAGTACGCTGCCAACAATCAATTATAGTTGTAAGAAAGGCATAAATCATACTACAAATTTTCCAAATGGGCATAAAACTACAAGAACATTTGTTCGTTAGGATTCACAAATGCATCTCACCTGCCAAGAGTAAATTCATCCGGATAAAAACCCAAAACGTGCATTTCTGAGAGAAGTCTCAAAGCCTCCTCATTATATTCAAACTCGGTCAAACCCGTAACCATGGCATTCCACGTCGCAATATTTCTATTGGGCATTTCATCAAACACTTTGAGTGCTTTATCCAAGTCGCCACTTTGCACAAACCCACCTATCAAGATGTTACAAGACATGAAATTTTTCTTGGGCATTACGTCGAACAACGACACAGCGATCTGAGACTGACCAAGTTTCAAGTAGGTATTGAGGAGGTGGTTTGTGACAAACCTCGTTGAAGAACACCCAGACGTGATTATCAAAGAATGGAGTTGTCGAGCAAGTGAGAGTGAGTGGATTTGTATGCATGATTTGAGGAGGTAAGAGTAGAGAGATGGATCCAAATATACGTCTGAAGTGAAGGTCCTGAATGCTTCGTTGATGCGGCCTTCTGCACAGAGACGTAGAAATCTCTCCGGCGGTGGCTTTGATGAAGGATATTGAATGGTTCTGGTGGCAGTAGAATAAAAGCGATTAATGGAGCTTAGACAGCCATTGATGAGCTTCCGAAGGTAAAACTTGCCCATGCATCTCAATTCTCGCAGTATAACAGGGTTAGCTTTTGGACCCAGAGTATCAGGTTTGCTGAATGAGACAGCATCCACGCTTAAACCATGGGAAGCACCTTCCGTAACTATCCTACCAAAAGGATTATAAAGGTTTTAAAGATTTTTTTAGGGGTGTTTATTGCTTTGGAAATTGAACTTTTAACAAATTCATAAACATCAATTCAATTAAGGGGGTGTCATTAGGGAGGGTGTTGAATGTGTTGGAAATTGGGATGAGTTTAAAATTCAGAAAACATCAAATTAATTTTAAAATATATTATATTT